GGTTGAAACATACATTCAGTCGCGTCATCGACCGAGTAAAATGGTTCGCCCAGTGCTTTGCTTGAAAGCAGACACATCACATTAGTACTGTACGGACCTTAGGGTTCGGAGTTTTCGGTTTAAACCGATAAAAATCGATAAAAGTACGCCGAATTCATTTTTGGAAATTCGGTTTTAACCGAAAAGGTCAGTTTTTAGGTTCGTCATTTTCGATTTAAACCGATAAAAGTTCGTCGAGCTCATTTTCTAAAATTCAGTTTTAACCGGAAAAGGTCACTTTGACCTTCCAGTCGTACAACAGAGCGGTGGCAAAAAAGTGGAACGACAGTGTCTATCGAAACGTGTCCGAAAGTATGGGATACACGGATGGCATCACGACGTTTTGGTTTAATGTGCGCATCATTGATCGGAACGTGAAGAATTCCGAAATGCCCCATGACTTCGCCATGTACGAGCATGCTTTCAAACTCGTTGTAAGGAAGACTGACGTGATGCAAGCTCTGCATGTTGTGTTGTGCTTTAAAACGTCGCACCGTGGCTTTTTCGGCGGTCACAATTGGTTGATTGGCCGATTTTGGCTCGGGCAGCCCTTCATCTCCTCAGCCTGCGAGTGTCCAGTGTTAGCGTTGAGAGGGCATTCTCGAAGCTCAGGGTCATATTAACAGAAAAGAAAAAGTGCGGATTAAGGAGAAGAACCTTGGCAAGTACATGTGTGTGTACCATAATGAGATCGCGTAATCCTGATGTACAGAAGGTGAAGTTCCATGTTTATTGGGCATAGGCTTCATATCTGACTTGTTTGTACTTCTATGTTTTTTTTCTTGTTTCTTTTTACAGTTGCACACATTTTCCAAATGAAGTGTTCATTTCTTTTTCAATGTATCTGTGCCGTTATTCTTTGAGTGATCACAAATATCAGAGCTACGCACAAGGATCGTCTGATCCGGTGTCCGTTGGTGTTTATTTTATATTCACCGAAAAAAGCCGATAAACTTTTGTGGGCATAAATATCCGCCGAAAAAAACCGAAAATTGTATTTTAATATAAACACCGATAAAAGTACGCCGAATTTTGAAAAAATAGAAACCGAAAACGCGGAACCCTATGTATGGTGTACGCGACGCAAAAGATGAAATCAGTCGTCAACTTGTCATTGAAATAAAGTAATCGCTTACAATTACAATCGATTCCAGTAAAAACTTAATTTGATTAGGTTGCCTTATATTGCAGAAGTTTATCTTTCTACATATATAGGAAAGCTTTTTCTTTCCCATATCAGTAATCCTATAATGTCTTATTGAAAAGAATCAACAAACCTTTATCTCAAAGTTGAACGTGATCGCGTTGGTTTTCAATAACTTGTTACTGAAAGAATAAACTAAAACATTCCGGGGACACCCAAGCACTTCTTACGAGTTGTGAATGCGAAAGCATTACGTTCTTTCTCCTTGCGCGTTGCACCGTTGCTCGTTTTGCCCGCTGTGACTTGCTGCTGACTGTCAAGAAGAGCACGAAAGCGAACGAGAAGGCGATGCAAACGGGGCCCGATAAGGCAAGATTTGGCGACGATGGTGGATTTCGCTGCCCGCCTCTTCGCTCGTTTTGCTGCGTTCTTCCGCTCTCTTAGTTCGTCTGCGGTGTACTGCGGCGATCTTTAATTCGCCTTACAGCAGGTAATGCTTTAATCACTTTTATTCCACGCGTGACGTCACATTTCACGTGAACGTTGTGGGGGGTTTTAAATTTCCGCGCGAGGTCATGTGGCTGCGACGTCATGACCCTATCGACCAATCAGGATTTTGCCAACACGCCACCGGCGTCGGGTTTTCTGCGACACGAGCTCCTTAACGATACGCGTTAAAATTCGGGCAGTAATAATTACATTTTCTTCTCGCAATGGAAAACCCCAAGTCATGAGTTTCTCATGACTTCGGACACGAGCTAAAAGGTTCTGTTTTATCATTATCTGATGAATGCACTCTGGAAGTAAGAGAAAAGCGTCGTCATCTTTGGGTACACGCGAAGGAAAAAAAGAAGATCCAAACAATAAGGTCCCATTAACCTATGATGGAGTTATAATCAACGGTAGTATGTTCATTTGGGATGCTGAAAAAGAGGAAATTGTGGCCGTGAAGCGTACTTGACGCCAAAGTGCGATTGGGAAAATTGACAAGAGAAATGTTTTAGTGTTGGTAGTTAATAGACCGATGTCACCAAGCCAACTGCGCAGGCGCGCGCATTTCGGAAGTGGTGGCGCCGCCATGCTACTTGTAGTCATCCCTTCCCGGCTACATACGGCTGCGCGTATAGTACATCATCATAGATTATCATTTGTCACGCCCCGGTATCACCTTGATTCTCTTGCATGTTTTTACTTCATAAGATTGTGTTGTTTGTGATGCCTTGCTTTCCTCAGCAAGTGCAGAAAAGCAGTTTCAGTCGTCTAATCGTTTAGAATCGCTTTGTCGTCTGCTACGTCGTCGTCTGCTTCTTCGTCTTCGTGAACGCGTGAGCCCACTGCCGTTTACGGGGTAATCCCACTGCGGCCGCGGAAAAGAAAAGAAAACAAAAAAACACCGGCGCCACTACTCGAGCATTCCGACTCCTCGGACGTCTGAATTACCTTGCAAACAAGTGAACATCTAATGCAATAGCAAAGAACAAGAAAATTCGAGGGACCATTGGCTCGGTGTATAGCACCACGGAACAGCATCAAATGTGATGAAAAACTGAGCTTGGTGGTGCTCAGTCTTGTGCATAAAGGCGCATTCACACTCTTGCAACCGAGTACGACCGAGAAAGACTTCTTGGGACCGGATGCACTGAGCGGAGCTGGTCCTAAGAGATCGCAAGAGGCTTAAAAACCGGTTTGGTCTCTCTCGGTCGCACTCGGTTGCAAGAGTGTGAACGGGCCTTAACGTTTAATCAGCCATCAAGTAAGAGGAGCTAAATAGACTTTCTCGGTCAGCGATAGTTTTCTAAAAGTTGTTTCATTCTGGTTGACACCCTGTGCGACAGAGTACAGATGAACAGCGGGAGAAGCCTGCACACAAAGAACTGATCTACAGAAAGGCCATGCCTGACGCCCCGTAATAATTGACATCTATCAAAAAGAAGCAACCATGCCAGATACCTGAAAGCTTGGGGTGGAGATGATTTTTCGTGCACAGTTTCTATTCAGTTTTATTTTGTTTGCGCAAGATCCGAACGCTAACAGTCGCCCGATGGGGGAAGCTTTTTCTGCGGTCTCGACTGGGGCTAGTGCAGAATGGATCAGTAACCACCACAAAATGGATGAGGTTCGTTTGTTACATTTTTGGCGGTAAGTACGTGTTGCACTTCTAAATTGCATTATGTAATCTTTTCGCGTTGGTATGAAAAAAAAATGAAGGCTGCTTCCGAAAAAAACGTTGTTTTATATCAAGTGGTGCATATCGGGAATCGCTGCTCTTTAGTGATTGTCCTGATTTTTTGAAGCACGGTTGTGCTTGAAACATGTCGTCGCAATAACAGATATAACCACCAAAATACACCGAGTAAGAAGTGTATTAAAAACGACCTCCGCAAAGCAGTGCGGAGGTCCTATTTGAGATGGACCAGCAGATAGGCCGCTACGGAACTACAGGTACCAGAATGCACCGCGGCAGCGGTGGCGTCGCGCAACTCCTCGTGAGATGGGTCTATTGCAAAAGTGTGAAAAATGAAGTGGAAGATTTGAGTGGATTGATTAGTTCTGTGCAAGCTGATATAGTGCTGGGAACAGAGCCGTGGTTAGATAGCTCCATATCAGATCACGAGGTATTTCCTAGGTCATTTAACGCGTATAGAAAAGATAGGTCATCACAGGGGGAAGGCGTCTTCATATTGATTAGTTCTCCGAAAAGCTGCCCACCAGACGTCCCAGGTAATACTGACGAATCAGTCTGGTGTACTGTTGGGCTGCCTGACAACAAATTCATTGCGGGAGGGGATGAGCATCGTACCGGCGTCCGGTCGTGTATCACTACTGCGTGGTGCACGTTAAAGACCCCAGGCTAGCGGTTGTACCGCACTGGCTAAATTGCTCATCTACAGCGTGTGACTCGTCGCAACTTTGAATGGCAGACCAACTACACGCTGTATAAATATCCCCACAACCCCCAATTTTTCATTGCGGGAGTGTTCTACAGACCCTTTAACTCTCATCCTGCTATCGTTGAGGCACTTTATGGCCTGGTATCCAGCGTTTCGAATGACTGCGTTTTACTTGGAGGCGATTTTCATCTACCGGATATGATATGGGGGGATGAACTGGTGCATGTAGAACCATGAGTCAGCTGAATCTTGATGTCAATTGCATGCCTGACAGCTTAGCCTTTAATCAGCATGTCATTGGACCTGCAGGGGATCAAAACATACTTCACTTGTTTCTTTGTAACTACTCAGCCGTTGTTAAAAACACTGATGTCATACCCGGTATCAGTGACCACGTGCTGCTATCTCAACCCTTGGATTTCGTCTTTCGCGCAAAACAATATGCATGGGTAGACAGGTAATGTTATGTAAAAAAGGAGACTATGAAAGGACATTTTCAGAGCATAGGTAGCAATTTCCTTTCCTTTGAGTGCCTTGCAGAGTGTATCGTATCAGATCAAGGCGGACAAGCTATCTGTATGCTCCATTGCCACGTGCCTTTCCCTTGCCCTCTACTACACTAACCCCTTTCCACCTTCGGCTATATAAGTAACAACACGGAATAAACCAAAGCATTGTTATCCTGATACCCGAGTTGTCTATTCTTGCCAGCCCACACAAGAACGATACATGGTGTCAGAAGTGGGATTGAACCGAACGTGAAGGTCGACGTCATGGAGCACCTAAGGCTGCCTGAACCATTACAACTGACAGCTGATGGAGGAAGAAACTGGAAACTGTTTCGTCAGAGGTTCGACCTTTTCCTTCAAGCCACAGCAAGCACCGACAAGCCGAGATCGGAGGCGGCAAAGACAGCCCTGCTGCTCAGCGTGGCGGGAGAGGAAGCCTTGGACGTGTTTAACAACTTTGTGTTCACCGAAGAAGAAAACAAAGAAGACTACGCCACCGTGACTGCCAAATTCGAAGAATACTGCGTGGAGCAACAAAACGAAATTCACGAAAGATACGTCTTCCGCTCCCGTCTGCAGGGCGAGGCGGAACCGTTCGAGCAGTTTCTACGTACCTTGAAGAGACAAGCGCAGCACTGCAACTTCGGGACCATGGCAGACGAGATGGTACGCGACCAAGTGGTGTTTGGAACCAACTTGCCGAAGCTTCGAGAGAAGATGCTCAGGGACAAACACCTGACCTTGGAAAAGGTCGTCACCTTATGCAAGGCGGCAGAAACATCAGCTCGTCAAAATGAAGTCTGGCGTAAGGCAAGTGAAGAACTCGACGTTAACGCTATGAAGACCAGCAAGAACGCTCCGACAAGCCCCCGGCGCAACCCGAACTGTACGCGCTGCAATCGAAGGCATGCCTTGCGACGCTGCCCGGCATACGGAAAGACCTGCTACTCGTGCAATGGGCGGAACCACTTCGCGTCTTGTTGCCGCGAGAAAGATGCCGTTTACGAGGTACAGCATGAAAACGACGACTTCGAGGTGCTGGATGTCGCAGTCGGCAGCGCCAACAAAAAACGCGACTGGCTGGTGGACGCGTGTCTTCAAGGCAAACACCTAAGTTTCAAAGTTGACACAGGGTCACAAGCTAACGTGTTACCACTATCAGTGTTCCGCAAGTTCAAGACCGTGACGCTGAAACCCAGCGGCGCTGTTCTGAGATCCTACGGTGGCAACGTCATCAAGCACGTCGGTACATTTTTATCGCCCGTGACGGTAGGCGACCGCCAGATATGCGCCGAATTTTTCGTGGTAAAGAACGGCCACAGCGCTATCTTGGGCTTGGCAGCTAGCGAGAAGCTAGGCATCGTCAATCGCGCTGTTGAAGGCGTGTCGACGAGCAACACCGAAGCAGTCTTCCAGGAATTCCCGCAGCTTTTCCACGGAACCGGGCGTACCCCGAAAGAATACAAGATGGTGCTACGCAAGGACGCCGTGCCAATCGTTCAGCCAGCTCGAAGGGTTCCCCTGTCGCTGCGAGAGCCTCTTCGTGCAGAACTGGACCGAATGGAACGCGAAGGCATCATTCAGAAGGTCAGCAGCCCGACGGACTGGGTAAGCCCGTTAGTCATTGTACTAAAAAAAGACAGCAAGTTGCGGGTATGCATGGATCCCAGAAGGATTAATGAAAACCTGAAAAGAGAACACTACCAAATGCCTCGTAGAGAAGATATTGAAGCGGACTTGGCAGGCGCGAAGTTTTTCTCGCGTCTAGACGCAAACGCAGGGTTTCACCAAATCCCACTGGACGAGCAATCATCCAAGATATGCACGTTTGCCACGCCTTTCGGCCGTTATCGCTTTCTACGCCTTCCATTCGGCATAGCGTCAGCTAGTGAGGTGTTTCAAAAAGCCCTCAACGAAGTGTTCGAGGGCCTTCCTGGCATACGTGTATACGTGGACGATGTGCTGATCTGGGGTGCGACTAGGGCGGAGCATGACCAGAGGCTGCACCATGCACTAAAGGCAGCTGAAGCAGCGGGCCTAACTTTTAATGCAGCCAAATGCCAATTCGGCGTTCAAGAAATTTTGTTCCTGGGCGACATCATTAGCCACAAAGGCATTAGCCCCAATCCTGCCCTTGTGGACGGTCTTCTCAAAATGCCAAAGCCACAAGACAAATTGGCAGTACAAAGGTTGCTCGGGGTTGTTAACTATTTTAGCAAGTATCTACCGTCACTTTCCCAGCGCACTTCGACTCTGCGTTCCCTGATCAAACAAGACGTCATTTTTGAATGGACACCTAATCATGAAAACGAGTGGCAAGCCATATGTCAGGAGCTAAGCGAGGCACCGCTGCTTGCTATTTTTGACCTAGGTTTGGAGACGAAGATAACTTCAGACGCATCTCAAAGTGGCATTGGCTCCGCACTCCTACAACGTCATGGGGACTGCTGGAAACCGGTCGCTTACGCGTCGAGAGCGCTGAGTGAATCGGAACAGAGATATTCGCAAATTGAAAAAGAGGCTTTGGCGTTGGTTTTCGGTTGCGAAAAGTTTAACCATTTTGTGTATGGTCGCCCACTCATACTCGAGAGCGACCACAGCCCGCTGATAAACATATCTAGGAAAGGCATAGCCGATATGCCGCCAAGAGTGCAACGTTTTTTCCTACGATTGCTCAAATACGATTACACGTTGATATTTGTTCCTGGCAAGCAGATGGCCTTGGCTGATATGCTTTCTCGATCTCCTGCTCCTGGGAACAAGGGGGCCGCCGACACGGGCGACGTAGAAATTCACGCCGTCACAGTCGTATCAGCACTCGTAAGTGAAAAAACGGCTGCGAAACTTGCACACGAAACCGCTACTGATCCGTATCTTAGCGTAGTACTACGAAAGCTCGGGAGGGGAGACGAAGTGGAAGGGGCGCTGAAATCAGTTGCCGCCGAACTTTTAGTAGTAGACGGCATACTTTTGAAAGGAACGAAAGTAGTAATTCCCACGAGCATGCGCAGAGAGATGTTAAAGAGGATTCACGCAGGCCACCTTGGCACGGTAAAGTGCAAAGCTAGGGCTAGGCAATTAGTCTACTGGCCGAACATAAACTCTGACATCGAGTCGTTGATCCAAAGCTGTCCGACCTGCAGAACATATGCCTATAAGCAACCATCAGAGCCTCTGATTCTACAACCAACGCCCACTCAACCATGGTACCGTGTCGGTGTCGATCTCTTTCAGTATTCCGGAAGACACTATCTGTGTGTTTACGATTCGATGTCCAATTTCCCAGAGGTGGAGCTCCTACCCGACACAACAGCCACCTCGGTTATTGATAGACTGAGTGCTATATTTTCGAGATACGGCATCCCAACGGAGGTATGCTCAGATAACGGCCCACAGTTTAGCAGCCACGAGTTCGCGCTGTTTGCAAAGCATTACGATTTCAAACATGTGAAATCCAGCCCGCAATACCCCCAATCTAACGGGCTCGCGGAAAAGGGTGTACAAATAATCAAACGCATCTTAAAGAAAACGAAAGCTGCAAACGAATGCTTTTGGCTTGGCATATTAAATTACAGGGCATGTCCTGTCGAAGATGGTCGGTCTCCTGGCGAGCTGCTGCAAGGAAGGCGGCTGCGCACACCCGTGCCGGACTTCGATCCCCTTCCTGCGATACGGGTCAAGAAACACCGACAGACAGGCCACAACGAGCGGGTGCTGCCCCGCCTTAAAAACGACGACGTGGTACGCCTGAATGGAGCGTCATGGGCGCGGAAAGCCAAGGTAGTTGGATCAGCCGGGCCGCGGTCCTTTTACGTGCGTACGGAGAATAATACCGTACTTCGGCGCAACCGTCGACACCTTTTAGCGACGAAGGAAGAATGCGAGGTCGACTTGTCAGACGACGAAGATTCGGACAACGACCGGGCCTCATCACACGGAATGACATCCACAGCGCCAACCATCACGACGGCTCTACAAACGGCAACTACGACGACTCTACAAGCGGCAGCTCAGCAGCCAACGGTTCAGCCACCGCGAAGGACAACACGACAGAAGCGGCCTCCGGAGCGATTGGGTTATGACGAGCGCTTCCAGCAAACGAGCCAGAGGTGTTGAGCTCAGCGGTGAACGACCGTTGGGAAGGAGGATGTATCGTATCAGATCAAGGCGGACAAGCTATCTGTATGCTCCATTGCCACGTGCCTTTCCCTTGCCCTCTACTACACTAACCCCTTTCCACCTTCGGCTATATAAGTAACAACACGGAATAAACCAAAGCATTGTTATCCTGATACCCGAGTTGTCTATTCTTGCCAGCCCACACAAGAACGATACACAGAGGAGATGAGTGTGCATGACACATGGGTATTATTAAAGCAGAGAATTCTCAGTTTGGGCAAACATACCTTCCAAGCATAGACTCATCGAAGCTAAAAAAGAGAGAAAAACCATGGATTACCGGTAGCCTACTGCGGCTGATAAAGAAGCGCAAGCGTGTGTACGCACGGCGTAAGAAAGGGAGCAGGGAGCAAAGTCTAAATAAGCTAAAGGAACTTACGTCATTGTATAAGATAAAGGTAAAGGAAGCCAAAGAAAGTTATATGCAACGGCTGGAGGAGGGATGTAGGGGAATAACAAACAATTCTGGAAATACATGAGGCGCTGGAAGTACATGAGATGTGATGATTAATAATAAAATAATTACCGATGACTGGAAAAAAGCTGAAGCCTTTAATGCATACTTTCAGTCAGTCTGCTTGCTTCCTGAGAACACAGCCTACGACAGATGCCAGGCCACGTTCCGTGAAATGACACCAGTTGAACCTGCAGTAGGAGGTGTGGTGGAACTTCTAAAATGTATAGATGAATCTAAGGCAGTAGGCCCAGATGGGATCTCACCGAGAATGTTAAAACGTTGTTCAGATGCGACTGCTCCCATGCCTTTCTATAATATATAACAAATCGCTAAACGATGGCCCGTTGCTAGACGACTGGCACTGGCACCACGTGTGCACCGGCACGTCGTGCCGGTGCACACTGAGAAAGGGAAAAAAGAAGTTACTAATTACAGACCGATTTCACTAACGTCCATATGCTGCAAATTACTGAAACATGTTTTCTATTTTCACATCATGAAGCATCTAATCTACCATAATTTTTTCTTTGCATCACAACATGTATTTCGGAAAGGGATATGATGTACTGGACATCTGACTGAGGTATACCATGATTTGGCCACAGGTGTTTACAAAGACGGATAGATCGATTGTGTTTTCTTAGATTATATAAAAAAAAAACAAAAAAAAACAACGTTCGATACGGTATCACACGCACTATAATTACACTAATTAGGGTGCCTATTTGGCACGGCTATTCTAAAGTGGATAAAAGCGTATATATTACGACGTTATCAATGTGTTGCTTTAGGTGATAAAACTTTAAATTCTGTTGAGGTAACATCCGGTGTACCGCAAGGCTCTGTTTGGGACCCTGGATATTTTGAATACTTGTTAATGACATTATGACGGTGTAAATTCACGGCTACGTTTGTTTGCGGATGATTGTGTTGTTTACACGGACATAACAGATGAGGACAGTTTCAGACGGCTGCAGGGTGACCAGAACCAAATAGAACAAGGGTGTAAAAATTGGAAGTTAAGTGTAAAAAAAATGTGTTCATATTACTTTTACCTGTAAAACGAAAATAAAAGTTGAAACGTGTTATCAACTGAATGAAGAAACCGTACCAACAGAGCAAACAGTTAAATATTTAGGCGTCGTGCTATCCGCGGACTGCACTCGGAACGCACATACTGACGATGTTGTTATGAGGGCCGGAAGGGCGCTTCGAGTTTTCAAGCGAAATTGAAAGAAATCGACTAAAGCTATCAAAGAGCTCGCCTATCTCTCGTGTGCACGATCAGTTTTAGGGTACGTTTGCACCGCCTGGGATCCTTCTCAGCAAAACCACGTTGTTGCACTAGAAATAATTCAGGGTCGCGCTGCTCGTTTGGTTCTGGTGTGGTATGACCGTTTTGCGAGTGTAATCGACATGATTAAAGAATTTGGATGATCTACATTGGCCTTAAGGCAGCGAAATTTGCGCTTTAAGTTTTTATACAATATACATTACAATATAACTAGCATTAAAAGCTCATCTTACTTATTACCTTCAAATTATATCTCCCAAAGAAAAGACCACATTCATAAGATAACACAGCACTAGTACTGAATTGGGCAAACAATATTTGTTTTTTGCTAAAACTGTTTGGAGTAGAATGCCTTGCCTAGCGAGATTGTGTGTGCCGCAAATTTTAGAAATATTTTTTTTTTCAAGTTTATTCGCCCCTTACGATAATGGCTGATGGCGCTGGAAGATCATGATGAATAAAGAATAAAGACCAAAACGCCGAAACTAGGGAAAATGACTTTTTTTGTCAATAAATATCAGCTGTGTTTGAGATTCACGTGTCCATCTATTAAGAATTTTTCCATTTGAGTACCATGTAAAGACATAGCCCGTTTTTTTTAGCCCGAGCTTTCTGCATGAAGAAGTTCCCTGTTGTACCGAGTGAGGTTTTCCAGGATAAATATCTATGGGGTTCTGCTCTTTAGATTTATCTCCTATTCGTCACCATCTTGCTTTCTCAGAAAATAAATATTTATACCAGAAACGTTATCTTCCCTCGCAGGCAACCTGTAAACAGCAACAACGTCAATCTCAGTTAGACGAAGGAGCACGAGTTTGTCAGCAACTTCACTCAAGGAGGCGATCAAGCTTTCGCCCGGGAATGCAGGAATACTATCTACTTCCAGGTTCAATCGCCTACTCCAGAATTCGAGGTCATCCTCTTGCTGAAACGAATTCCGACCGACTTTTCTAATTTCATCTCTTTCTGCCAGTTATGTCACTCTCTTTTTTAATTCTTCGATTTCACTCCGTTGACGTGCAAATTTTTCTTCAACTTCATCAAATTCTTTCGACATGAGCTGTATGGATTGCGCCATGCTGTTAACTTTCCCTTTCAAAATGAAACAAAGCTGTCCAGCTTCTGGTGAATAGATATCAGGAGAGCTTTAACATCAAGTTCAGGCTGATCATCTTCGGCGCAGCGGCCATGGATGCCGGACACCGCCATGACGTTTTTTGCAGCTTCCCATTTCCCACTACATGACATTTTGGTTACTCCCACACACTTGCCGAATGATATTTACCCGCGAAGTCTGCACACTCTACTGACACATCCCTCGTCTGTCAGGGCGGGCAACAGGCAGGACAGACAGGTGTCAGACATTGTTTGCCCAGTTTAAAAGACAACGCTACTGCAACATCAGTGGCGGCGTCAGCAGCGGCGACATGGGTTCAAGTTAAGAAAATCTAGTGAAGTTAGCAACCTGCAAAAAGCGTGGTACTCAGATTAGCCACGTAGATCAGACGCTGCTGCCTCTGTCAAATGACCGTCAATTGGGAAACGCACCACTTTTCTGCCTTGGACGCACGAAAACTGTGCTTGCGAAGACTGTGTCCGTCGTAGTCTCGAAGCGAGCAGGAACAAAAACGCCACCGTTGTCGAAGCAGCAGAAAGTTGTCGAGCACAATAGTCACCGGACGACAGAAGGGCTGAAAAGGTAGATTCTGGCCGAGATGAGTGCAGGCTCCTGTGCGGCAATACCTTAACAATCTTGGTGCTTGTTACAGAGTTACAAGCTGGCTACAGTTGATGCCATACAGGGACTAAAAATTGCGCCACATCTCAAAGAAAAGCGCATCGACCCCAATCATTTTCAAGAATTGAGTGTTGCTAGTGTAGTGGCAGTCCTTAACCGTGCTGTAGCTTCCGTCATCAGGCTCTTGTTACAGCTGGGAGGGATTCAGAGCCTGAATATCCAAGGAGTCAAAAGATCCAACGAGACGAAATATCCACTAGTGGATATTCAGGCTCATTGGATATTCAGATACGTTGGACATTCAGGCTTGGTTGGATCTTTCGTCTCGTTAGATATTCAGACTCGTTGGACATTCAGTCTCAATTGAATATTCCGTCTCGACAGATGTTCAGTCACGTGGACATTCCCGCCTGGTTGGATCTTCCGCCTAGTTGGATATTCAGACTCATTGGACATTCCGTATCAGTTTGACACTCTTTTTCGAGGGAAATTCTGTCTCACCCCCCACGTGACATAGTGGATATCGTATGGGGAGCTGCATACAGGCTCATTCCTCTGGCTACCTGACCTGAGCAATGCGTTTTGCAATGTTCACGTATTTTGAGCTGATGGATCTTCAAATTTTTTAAAAAGAATGCTGGTTGCTCAGGCGGATTCAAGTTGGTTAAACTTGGCTGTTGAGTTCGGGACAATTTTTCAATTGCCTAACGGCTTATATTTAATTGTGCTCGGATTTAACTTGTTTATTCTTGTGTCGACTATCCTATCTGAAGGAGCCGCTGGCCATTGCTCTTTTTGAAGAGGGGATGCGCGTGGCCTTCGCCGGCTTACGTGCGTCTCGGGGGTACCATATCTTACAAAAATAATACAATACAATACAGTTTATTTTATTTTTTGAATACATTTCGTTCTGCACCCACATAAGCCATTAAGGCTTGTGCGTGGGACGCGGCAGGTAACTAACAACCAGAATGATTTTACAGTGTCAACACATTCTATGAGTTTAATCAAACAAACAAATTACTATAAGAAAAGAAACGGTTTGTTACACAGGTACACAATAACAGGTGGAACTGGCCTCTATTAGGTACACACTGCTATTTACTAATACATCTCAAAGAGTTGTTTTAATAATCAATGGTTAGGGTCGTGGGTAGGTAAAGCTTTTTATTAATTGTCACTTTTTTTACTTCCTCTGTTCATTGATCCATATTTTTGCTTTTTTTTTTTGCATGCGGATGTTTGCACTCGATCAACTCTTCAGGTAGTTGGTTCAAAATTGTTGGCACATGATATTTTCTTGTAGCCTCTCCATACTTTGTCTTCATTAATGGTTCAAAATATTTCCTATTTGGTCGTAATGTTCTTTTTTTAACAATTTCTATTTTATCGTAATAGCTTAAAAGGAATGTTGTGATTATGCCGTATTTCAATTGATCACTAAAGTAAAATATGCCTAGTTATTTACGTAAATCATCTATTAAATCGTTTGCTTTTTTGATTTGGCAACCAACTCTTCCGAATATCTGTTTTTGGAGAGCTCCAACTTCTATTTGGAGGTATTTGGCACAGTGCCCATAAATGCTTAATCTATATTGTATGACATATTTTCCTAATGAGTTGT